TTCCTTCGTTCCTGTGGGAATTTCTTAATGTTCACATCACACAAGGAATCTCTGTATACGAGTATATCCACGTTTTATCGTTTCAGAGATTTAGTGAGTATTGAGTATTAGTTAGGTTAGTAAGTATGTTTACATACATACAGTCATATGACTATATTTACAGCTATTCATTGTGTAATCTGAAGTCGTTATCTATACCTAAAACTAAGAATCTACTCGTGCTATAGAATAAATTAGGACAGAAATTTCATTCTAGATAGGCAGTGTAATATTCTAACGTGTCCGTTACCAGGGAAGGCGCAATTTTTTATTTTTTATTTAACGTCTCATGTCCCTTTGGAGATAAAACATTCAGTTTATTTATTTATTTTATACTATGTATTATTAATATATCAACCATTAACTGTCCACTGCTTTTCCATAAGAGTTTAGCCTTTCAGGCGAATTGACAACCGCAATTAATTTAACACATTCATCATCATAATATCAATCGTTAATTGCCCACTGCTGAACATAGATCCCCATCTATTGAGGAGTTTTGTCGGTAGTTGCTACGCTTGGCAAGCGGGTTGGCAGTAAGGATTTGATGAGGTTTTAAGAGGGATGCTGCTGCCCATTCCTCGATAACGTATCAATATTATATGAAATAATAAGAGTTTGTAATTAGTATAGTATAGTACAAGAGGCGGTCTTATTACTAAGCAAACTCTTCCAGATCACCTTTAGGTATGTTAGAAGAAATTAAAAATGAAAAATCATCCATCACAATATTCCTTATAATGATAACTATGATTTCGATTTCACTTTGTATACACGCGACATTTCTAACAAATCTGAACTTATTTTGATGATTGCTTTTAAAACAGATATTGTTTAATTTTCTATTGATCCTATAAGAATTTTATTATATTAAAAGTTGTTTTATTTAATAAATCCTATATTATTTGCTCTACGTTATTTATTAGACTTCAATATACACAATTATATATCATGTAAAATATTACGTTATTTAACAAACATAGTAATAATAGAAAATAGGTGACACGTTATGAGTAATTGTAAAATTATTTCTGAGCTAGTGTTTTACCGTATTCATTGGAAGAGTATTATAGGACTCATGGTTTTATATAATCAGTTATATATATACTATTTATATATACTATTAGTTATATATATATACATTATGAAATTCATAATACTGATTATACATTACATTCTGAGTTTTGATACCTCACTAATTCTATTCGAAAGTAATTAGGTTTTTTGTCGTACAAAACCTCAAAACTAGATAAAAAGCACTGCTTATTACCTCGCATCAAAAATTAAAATTATGCATATCTACCACGGGGCGTCACATACAATTCTAATGTCTAAATCGTACTTTAAAGAAAATTTGTAAAAGTGTATTAGCTTTATTCTAGCTTTTACTCGCGACTTCGTCTGCATGAGTGGGGTATGTGCACTAGCTGGGATATAAAAATAGCCTAGGTATATTCTTTTTGATCCTATATGTTATAGTATGAGTATATAAAATTTGCATACCACATACATACATACAACAGAGCAGAAAGGTGTAAGACAGGGTGACGTCATACCCCCGAAACTCTTCTCAGCTGCATTGGAAGATATTTTCAAACTCTTGGGCTGGAAAAGATATGGTATAAACATCTATGGCGAATACATCACTCACCTTTGATTTGCTGATAACATAGTAATTATGGCAGAATCCCTGAAAGATCTGTATATGTACTATGCTCAATGGCCTCAATGGTGTTCTTCAACAGATTTGTCTTAAGATGAACATGGGCAAGACTAAAATCATGTGTAACATCCATGTCATACCGGTTACGATTGAGAATATTTCGCTCGAAGTTGTCGATGAGTATGTATATCTACCTAGGACAAGTTGTCTGAATGTGTAAATCCAACTTCGATCGAAAGGTCAACCGACGAATCCAACTCGGCTGGGCAGCGTTCGGAAAACTACGCTACATCTTTTCATCCAAAATACTTCAGAATTTGAAGACGAAGGTTTTTAACCAGTGCGTGTTGCCAGTGATGACTTATGGAACCGAATCATGGTCTTAGACGATTGCTCGTATGCAAAAGCTTCAAATTACTCAGCGGGCTATGGAAAAGGCTATGCTCTGAGTCTCTTTGCACGATAATATGCGAAACGAGGATATCCGCAAAAGAATCAACATAATCGACATAGCCCGAAGGATAAGGAAACTGAAGTGGGAATGGGCTGGTCACATAGCTCGAAAAACCGATAACCGATGGGAAAGAAAGGTTCTTGAGTGGCAACCGCGTACGGGCAAACGTAGTGTAGGACGACCCCTCACTAGATGAAGCGATGACCTAAAATGCATTGCAGAGAGTCAGTGGATGCAGGTAGCTCAGGACCGTTCTTTAGGCAGTCTATGGGGAGGCTTATGTCCACCAGTGGACATTTTATAGTGATTGGTTAAGTCGTTTAAGCAATAAGAGATAAAAAAAACAAAGTCATTTTCATATTTATAATATTAGTAAGGATGATTGTTACTCAAAACAGATTTAACAGGTATAGATAATTCAGGCGAGCAAAGCTGCTGTTACAGCTAGTATCATATACATATTAAAAATTCGAATAAACTAAATTTGATTTATTTTATTGTGTGCACATTTAGTATAAAACATATGTATTTATAAAGTTGAATAATTATGAGAGCATGTATATGCTTCACAGTGGAAGCTGGAAAACTCAGTAGGTACATTATGCACGTTTAAGTGACAAATGGAAACGTGTGCTTTTTGCTACAGAACGAGATCGTTTTGACAGTTCCCATGAGTTTTACTATATAGGTGACCCATTTTCCCTATATTCTGTTTATTTTACTGTAACTTTCTTATTGGATTCCCGTGGAAGATATTGATAAAACGGAATGACAATTTTAAGTATATCCCTAAAGAGATGAATTAAATTTATTAAAGACTAAATATATCTTGCGGATTCGTTTTCGTGAATTGTTGTATAAAGTATTCATGTTTCAAGTTAAAATATAGCCTATATGTGTACCAAATTTTATTCAAATCAGTTCGATAGTTTTTGCGTAAATAAAATAATAATCATCCATTCATAAATACCACAAAAGCTCTCGCATTTATAATAATAGTAGAATTAAGGAAAATACTGATTAGCAGCAGACGTGTCTATCAGATTGCTATTACTATCATTACAACAACGCTGCATCTCCGCATCATTCAGGGAGCTTACTAGAGTGTTTTATTTCGAGTTTTCCTTTTCTAACAAAGGTATATTATACTTTGTTCTCGTAATCGTGTCCTACATTATCATGGGGATGAAATAGGGATGATAGATGATATTTTTGCTTCGAAACCATACGGTATGAATCTACTTACAAAATCAACTATGAATTATTCTGTAACAGACTAACAATACTTTCTCTAGAGAATACAGTATGGGGTTCTTCAAAAAAGGCGTATTAAGGTTCTTTGAGGGCCGCAACGCGCACGTAACACCCCTAGTGTTGCAGGCGTCCATAGGCTACAGTCACCGTTTATCATCAATTGGGCTGTACGCTTTGCCGCCTTTGTGTTTGTATATTTAAAAAAATATATCCGTAACGGTATAACGTACTGCATTACTATAATTACTTTACCTCAAAACAAATGAGATATCATTATTTCTACAAGTAGGGTGGTAATATATCTGTATTGTAATATTTTATTTATCTGCATTGTAAGTTATTACCTATTTAGAGTTTGATGAAAACAAAATAGACTCCATCTGGTCGTAATGAAATTTATTGATTTGCTCAAGATATGATTGTCTGTAATGCAATTGGATCTCCACCACCATTTTTATTAGATCTGACAATTACTGTCAAACGCTGACATTATAATAGTAAGAAGCGTTCGGAAAGAATATAATTCGAAACAATAACCGTCCATTTGACGTGCATGCTGAGAGATTGATTTTATGTACGCGGAACCCTAAGAAGAAAATTCTGCTTTATACTTTCTAAGTGGAAGCGTTTGATGTCACCAAACTCGATGATAATTGAGGTCTGGATTTTTTGGTAATTGAAAAAGTTGATTAATGAATCCTTACCCAAAACATCGTCGAAGTGATGCGGCTGACAGTTCGACACTGACCGATCGTGACTACTCAGATCTATGTCGCTTTTAATGGGTATTCAATTAAAAATTAAGTGGAGCGAGTTTTCTAATGTTTTTCTACTTATCAGACAGTCGAAAGATGGCTAATATTTTTTAGATCTATGCACTTCTAAATGAATGAATGAATTTCCTTTTTTTCTTTATTCTTCCCCTCTAAGAAAGATACAATTACATAAAGTAACTTTTATACACAAAAACAGTATTGTAAGAAGCAAGGTTCGAATTTTTGACGTAATAATTTCAAATTTTGTTCAAAAATATTGATAGATTTTTATAAAATGGGTTAATATCCATTTTACAAGTCCAGTCTGATGAAACTTTGTCATGTCACGTTCACTTGTGCCCAAAAAGTTTGAATACCTTGTAATGCACTGGTAAGCACGTTACTTTGTGTTTATAAGGTAGTTGTTTCGAGTTTCGGTCGTATTTATATATTTATTCAGGTCTGAATGCTATGAATTGTATTTTTAATGCTTCGACAGAGAACAAACAAGCGATGGGTAGAAAAAGTTTTCGATTGGCAACTTAGTACAGACAAAAGTAGTTTATAGTAATCCCTCATTATTTAATCTAAGTTGTCTCGATCTCAAATGTGTTGCAGAGAGTCAATTTTGGTATTCTTAAGGCAGTTTATGGAAAAGGTATATGTTTAACAATGAACTGTGAATGGCTAAAATTACATTAGGGCAAAAAATACCGTAGCATACCTAATATAGTTCTACTAATATGTAAATATTAAGTAAGAGGAAAACTTGGTAAGTTATTTTAAGAGAAGAGGGATATATAGTAACACCAATATTAAGGAAAAAAGTCTTTATTTTATAAATCTAATACCTATAGCTATTGAATAAGTACATACATAGATCGCTTCTTTAAATGAATTAAATTCCGAAAAACATCTCAAGCTTGGGGATCCTTTGGTAACGAAATCTTGAATTGCAGCAAGACGATAAGATATATGGTTATTGTGTTTATTGCCTGCAGAAAAAGTGATAAGTTTATTTATTTAAAACTTTATTGATCAATAAAATGTGGAATTGAAGGCAGACTTAATGTTATAGGCATTCTCTACCAGTTAATTTTTAGGATGTGTAGAAATACTTGATGGTGGATTAAATAATTAAAATAATTTATATTTTAATGCAATATGTATATGTAAATTATATAATTATTTGATGATCTTAGTCATGTAGCAGTTTGCGGTTTAACACGCTATAACACATTTTAATATCTACAGGTTCCATACATTCCATTCCATTTTACAATATTCATGAGTATTTATCTTTTTAATTAAGACTAATTAACTTATTATCATTACTGACATTAGTTAATTTTAAAGTTTCGCGTGGTTTACACATATTTTAAATACACAATCGGGACTTAACGTGATGAAAAAACCTTTGCAGGTAAATAGTAGCTTGATATACTCGTATAGTTAGCATGCTTGATCGTATACGTCACGACGTGGTGCAAAGGTTTTTTATCGTATTAAGTTCTGATTGTGTATTTTAAATGTTATTATAAATGTGAAAGATGAGTTTGTTTGTATATATATATATATATATATATATATATATATATATATATATATATATATATATATATATAAAGCTACAATTATATTTATTGTCTGCATATATTATAAATATATCCCGGGACACTGGAGAAGTCTATTTTTAATTTTTTTTACTTTTAAATTTACATACAATGCACACAAAAAATTAAAAACTTATGGAAAACCTATTCTACTGATTCTTAAGTAGATACTAACAGAAGTAAGCAATTCTCTATTCACTTCAGCGTATCCTTTCAGACTGACGACAGCTGGGTTCATCTCGATGGCTAGGATGAAATGATCGATCTATGCAAAAATCAATTTAAATATTAATAATCCTATCCTATCCAATCCTATAAACATTTATTTAGTATTAAATACTTGACAATTAATATTATTAAAATATAAACCCGGCATGGCGGTTTCGAATCCATTCTGATATGTTTCAAATAGACAATAATTATTTTTTTAATTACTTCAATACTGGAATGATTACAATAATTTCATCAATCAAACTGCAAAGCTTTCCTCAAATAATATGTTAAAATATAAAATGGATTTTTAAACCTTTTGTATTCAGCGTGTGTAAGAAGGCAATTTTTTCGGTATAAAAATAAATTATATAAGAAATATAAGCTGTATGTCAAACAGCTTATATTTCTTATATAATTTATTTTTATATTAATTATTATTAATTTTTATATTATTTATAATAAACTTATTTTATATAATAGGTATAGTTTTTTTATATAATACACTAGTTAACTAACCACAATGGTTTTCATGAAGGGGCCTGTGAAGGCCCCGTATAGGAAGGCGACGTATTGAGGTATATGAATAGCAATGGGGACTAACCTCTTCATTACTAACAATCTCGTCCTCGTAATATATTAAGTGGTTGGTTTTTTGTATTGACAGATTTTCTGTCACACTTCGTAAGTATATCAGGGTACTTAAAAAATATACCTCTCGAACAACTTTTTTTTTATACAACTTAGAATGGCAAACAAGCTGACGGCCCACCTGATGGAAAGTGGTAACCGTCGCCTATAGACATGAGCAGTACCATGGACATAACAGAGTATACTGTTTCGCCCATGAAACCCCTCATGCGTTGCCATTCCTGAGGACTCGGGTGTTATTCCTCTATACCCAGTAAATTCACGCCATATCCCACCCTTCAAACCGAAACACAGCCATGCAAACACAACTGCTTCATGTATGTATATTAAAGAAAAGATATACTTATATGTATAACTTATATGTATAATTAAAGAAAAGATGAACATTATAATTTAATTGTCATTTAAGTTGAAACGATCATTATGTTACCTCCTTTTGAGCGGGTCTATCAACAGACAGAACATCAATAGTTAGAAGTGTCTCCTGAACACCAGCCGCTACCTGTCAGAATTTGACCAGAATAAGTAAAATTTTATTATCAAACAAGATATTATATTTCTGTAAATGAGTGAAATTTCGTCTGTTCCTAGATATGGTCTCAAATGTTCAGAATCGAGAATTTATTTTATATGTAGGAATAGTTGTATAATGGGTAATAAAAAAGTATTAGATACAAAATTACTTTAGTATATTGTTAATAGACACTCAATATGACAATCAAGTGTATAATCAAGTCAGAAAAATATTATTATCTAAAAAAATATTTTATTTCACCGTTTCTATGAAACAATATTGATTGATGAAACACGTTCACTTCACTTGTTCTTATATGTTTTTTGTTGTCACTATTTTTTTTAACTATGATTAGTTAGAGTTTTACTAATATTGTCATGGATGTCATCTAGATGATCTTAAAATTGTTTCCCTAAAGACTACAGTATGGGGACAATGTGTACGTGACACTCCTAGTGTTACAGGTAGCCATAATATACAATGGCCGTTTACTTATTTGCCACTTTCGTGGTATAAAAAAATACTTTAAACTTCCAAGAGATTCGACTGCATTTTTAAAATATATCATATATACATATATTAAAAATCGAATATATTAGAAAAATCTACAATCATGCTCGATTGTTTAAAATGTTCTGGTTCTTGTCGAAGGTTAAATAAATGAACAAAGTAAAAGAAGTGATCAGTGCTAAGGCGATCATATAAAACATTGAATCAAATGAAATATACCAAATTAAGTACCTTTAATGTAGTTTTGTGAGAACAGTCTACAAATATGAACAGTAACGTAGAACAGTAAGCTGCGACAACGAATAGACCCATTTCCTTGAAACTGAATCCAAACCCGTGGTCTACTATCTCAGATAAGGCACCATATATTGCTATAGTTATATTGGTAAACCTGTAGGTATAGTTGATTATGGATAAAAATGTAATATCAACTCAGCATGCGATATTGATTTACGTTCACGAGGTTCTAGTTAGGATAAAATCAGAGGTCACGTCATGATGAATTTATCTCCTTTGTTTTGAGGAGTGCTTTAGTTGGTACTTTATTTATTATTATATAAATATGTAGGGTATATACATTAGTACTATATATACTAGCAATAATCTCTTTTAGTAATTTGTTTGTTATGCAAAGTTTCCAAAACAAACAAATGTTCAATTCGATAGCTTTACGCGGAAAAATGTATAGAGGAATAAGGTAAATCAATCCGTAGCCATTTGGAAAACAAAATCGCTTGACACTTTAATACTGTTATCTATCTCGATTAATATATTATATATCTAGATTAAATTTATTTATTAGCATATGCACGCAACATTGTATGGATTTCGATTGCAGGTTATAAAACAGAAAAGTTATCGGAATGAAATAATATTATTAGTTAAAAAAAAATATATATATCGTGATGTGGTCTAATTTGAGTGCTAAATTAAAGGTACAGTTGTTATTCCGTTTAGCTATAAAAATGTAACTTCTACATAGGTACATAAACTTACATTTATAGATCAGTAACAACAAATGTACATATGTGTGTATTTAATACATGAAACTACTGTAATTTGATTTCTTTGAACTTTAACGCAAGTTTCAGATGAGAGTAACGTTTCGTGTAGTATAATGTTTAAAAAATATATGAACATTAAAATATTAAAAATACCTAACTTACATAAAAAGACAGTAAGTAGAGTAAGTACGTGCGTAAGCATTTCCAAGCAATTGTAATAATTCGGAAATATTCAACCAAAGGAAACGATAGCGAGCTATCAATGTCGCCGTGCATTGCATATTGACATCCTGCAACAATTTAAATAATATAACTGATAATGTCATAAATTAATTTGTGAAAAGGTAACTAAGTGTTGTTAAATAGGTATTTTCCTCTTTTTAATTTCGCATAATATATAAAAGACAAGGCAATGATGACGATAAAAGGTAATATGGAAAAGTATTTCTAAAAGGAGACCAACTTCAATCGTGACATAATCAGTTACTTTGATATAATAACCAAACTATTGAACATACTTTGGTAAAACTTCTATAGAACCAATCTAAAAGTATATCCTTTCAAATGAGAAATAATTTCCAAATAAAAAAGGTATCTGATGTAAGATGCCGGTACATATTTATACTAATAAATAGTTTTTGGTATCAGCATACAAGAATATCAGCAATAGGACCTACAGATGTTTTTTATTACTCGTATGTAATATTATTTTGAAATTTTAATATTAAATAGATAAAATTAAGCGTCGTACCCTGAGGAAGCAATCGGAGAGACTTTGCGATGCAATTTTAATAGCCTTGCAGTTGATATACCATAGAGCACAATTCATGTTTATCATAGTTATAATATGGTAATATGCCGTAGTATGCTTAAGTAAAAATCCATCCAATAATGCACAAAGACTAAGAAGAAAGCAAATAGCAAGAAGTAAACAACCAATACTTATAACGATAATGGCCGTTTTAAGACTAGGGAATTGGAGATTTTTTCCAGTCACTCGATAATATCTGACCTGAAAAAATTATAGAAATGTTAATTATTATATTTAGTACTTAGAAATTATGATACACTCGCAAACAGGTATTTCTACATGAGATACCACAACAATGGCAACATACAACAATTTGCTTCCAACTCTATCATTACAGTTACAGTAGTAATTACCTGAATATATTTCTTATTTTATTACTTATTTATTTGTGTTATTTTTTTAATATTCGTTTTTTTCGTGTTAATCCTAATAAAAAATATCCTGTGATAGAGTAAATCTAAGTGGTACAAAATATAATTAAAATTCATTCAATCGTTTAAGTGTCTTAGTAACAAATATATTTACAAACTTAATTACACACAAGAGGAATTGGATTGTTCTTGTTATCTGGTATGTCTAGTAAAACACTAAAAACTTACTTGAAATTTTGCCCAGTTAGTCTTATAAATGGCAACTTGGTGCGCCACACCCCAACCAACAAATGGAATCCAAAAATGCGGTACCAAGAATACAACGAAAAGAATAGCATAGATGTAGTCGTCGAATCTTCGGATGGAGTGCAGTATCACGATGCGTTCGTAACCAACTATCAACACCACAATAGTCGCTACTATGTAGAAGCAGATGGCGTAGGCTGTGGCGCTGGACTTCCAGCTGAACGTGATTGTTCCTAAAGATACATTACGAGCTTATTTAGAACTTTACTGAGGTATATACGAGTAGAATGAAATTGAAATCGTTAGTATCCTTTGAAAAAAAAACCAGTAAAACTGAACATTTTCTTGAAAGAAACATTAATTTATTTTATTTATTCTTTACTGCACAATAAAAGTTTGTACAACTAGCGAGCTTAATGCGGTATGGCATTCTCTACGTAGCTGGTAGAGAATGCCATTAGGTAAAACAGAAAGCATACTCGTATGATGGACAGATGTGGTGAAAAATATTTGACATAATTATAGTAACATACTGAAATAATTACACATCATCATTTCAGCCATTATCCGTCCACTGCTGAACATAAGCCTCCCCCGAGTAGTTAGTGGATGCAGGTGGCTCAAGAACGGTCCTGAGCCACCTGCATCCACTAACTCCCTGCAATTATACATAATACATAAGAAATACACATACTCGTATAATACAAAAACACTAATATTCAATATATATGGTTATACTAATATAGATGTTAATAAAATTTTATAATATGTGTTGTTAGCTCCATCTTGGGAGGTAAGATAATTATTATCTCAATAAGTGACCAATAGGGGGTAATTCAATGTTTACATTGAGTCAGTTAATAGTTTATAAAACAAATAAGAGGTGATTGTTTTAAAAAAAGATAGATTCATCCATAAATGATAAGTACTTACCAGGACCCGACCTGATGATGGGCATAACAGCAAGTGCGCGGAATAAAACTAACAATAATTTATGGTCTCGATAAAATTGATCGTGAATTTCACATGTTTCTCCATCTTGCGAAGAGAGTTGATCCCGTTGTTCTTGTTCCTGAAAGGTGTTCTAATTTATAGAAGTGCATTACTATTTTATAGCACTTAATATTCCAATCTGAGACAGATTTTCGTGTTTTACACTCTTGTAGGTCCGTAAGTATATATTGTTTAAGGAATGACACTTCAGAATTAACCGCGATATCTATAAAATAAACTAGAAATATGTATATTTGACGGTCAAAGAAATAAAATAGTATCCAACCCACCTCTAATTCTTGCTACGAAAAAATGCTATATCCTTTTATCTCTAGCATAAGAATAATGAATAGATATCTATTATTCTTATGGTTCCTTCATATAGACGTAAAAAAAGAAATACTTACGTACTCTCTTTGTGTTTTACCGTATATTGTCTTGTGAATGTTCTTTTGAACATTGTTCATATCATTTTGCAACATTGTATTGTTAATGCCATCATCAAAGAGATGATCGGAGATCATCATTTTAGCGCGTTAATAGCGGAAAGTCCGTGAACGAAATGCCGCAGTTCCGAATTAATGGAGGCTTGTTAAATATGCGGGGCATTATCGCACCTGCCAGTAAACATGGAGTGTAAATTTCATTAAATTTTAAAGCAAACGACGAAGTCGCTTTTCGCATTTCAATGTCACGCGCGAGGCTTAGACACGCCCCCAGAACCTATTAGCTACCTATTTCGAGTAGTTTTTCTTCTAATTGCCTATTTCGATATATGTACGGGTATGTTTTTAGCTATTTATAGGATATAGTTGTAATTATCTGATAATCAAATAAAATATAATTACATATGCATTTTTCTCAGTCACAAGAAAAACTATGAACATATTTTAATTTTACTTACACAATATAAATAACTACTATTTTAGTTATTTATATTGTATTACTCTAATACACCTCTAATTTGGAGTAGGGGGAAGGGGGGATGTAAGTAATGCGAACTACCAGTCCAAGTGCTAATAACCAGATTGACCTTCACGTGGTCCCCCCCGGAAACGATGGTTTCCAGGTATTCATTACGATGGACTAACTGCCTGCCTTTCCACTCTCACTTATCATCCCTTACTGGTACCCTGCCAACGAATACCGTTAGCGCAGGCAGGGTTGCCATTCCATTATCATCCATTAAAAAAAGTTGCTACTCGTAATTACCTGGATAAACTTGAATTTAACGATTATTTGGTACACAGATAAACCATTTCCACATAATTTTTTTTTATGTTAATTCACGTGTGCTATACCGCGGTGTACCAATGTATACCGCTGTTTACGCGATTTGTAGAAAATAAGACAACAACACTTTTAATGTCAAAATGAGAACCATCGTACAGTTAAAATTAATTATAACTAAGTGAAGCTGTCTGGGGTCAACTTTTCAAATTGTTCAATTTTTACAACACAATTACAGAACAGTTTTTGATGTAAAGGTAGCCAATGAAAAACGTAATTGATGTTTATATTAATTTTATATACGAAAAAATATTACAACAGATATAAAATACTTATCCTTGTTTTTATACAGGTAAACAAATTGGACGTATTTGTAATACTTAGTAACAAACTTTTTCTATCACCCATTTTTTTTTATATTTACAAATTATAAATTAATTACAATTTTCTTATAATTACCTAATGATATTTTTTTAGATTCTACTATAAAATTAAATAATAAAAAATCCAATTAGTTTTATAATTCAGAATTACATGATAAAACAATACTTCATTATTAAAAAAAAGTATCGCATACTTTTTTACATTTAAACAAATGATCTAAATAACAGAATCAGATCATTTTATCGTAATAAATATATTACAGATATACATATATTTACAGAACATTTGTTTAGCTTTTATCCAATCACGGTATGACAGAGTCAAAAGTCGAAATACTACACTCGTTAAATTAGAAAGTTTTACATAGTCATTAGTAACTACGTGAAAACTTTCTAATATTTTTAGTAGAATTCTATAATATATAACAGAAAATAATTTTTGCAATTTATCGTATTCATAAACATAGATTTCAAGTTTCATCCCAACCATCTGGATGAGTGGCGGTCTTCCGCCGTACGTTTTTCACGGAATTATCTTCCACGAACAACCACTCTTTGTAATCAACTTCCAGCAGCAGTATTTCCGAACCTATACGACATCATAACCTTCAAGAAAAGAGCATATTCCTTTTTAAAAGCAGCACACCTGCAATGCCTTTGGTGTTGTAGGTGATCATGGAGGCAGTAGTCACTTACCATCAGGTGAGCCGCATGCTCTTTTGTCCCATGTTAAATAAAAGGTGGACGTATCAATTCCATTTTTATCCATAAAAAAATTACTAAACTATTATTATTACAATGTCTTTTATACAATAATAACAACTGTAACTTACTAAATATGACAGGATATAGTAAAATTGCCTATTTTAATAAAACTATTCTCTTAGCGACAATTTGATTTGTTAATACAATAATTATTATTAATATAAGGATACTTAGAACTTGTTTACTTAAGGCGGAATTTAGTTCGAATTGCAAAGCGCAAATTCAAACATACGACGGTGTAAGGAAGCGTTTAAAGAGATGCAGATCTTTGTGTGTATTGTTAGACTTTGTTTGGGTTTTCACGCATATATGTAGATTTTAAGCTGTAGCATAATCCGCAGTAGTGTGTGAGGTATAAGATAACTGCAATATTCAACCAACTGGGGTAGTACCCTTATATATATATATATATATATATATATATATATATATATATATATATATATATATATATATATATATATATATATATATATACTTTGTACAAAAGTCAATTGCTTGGGTACCTCTGTCCCATTCGTGTTTCAACCGTGAAGCAGGTGTGTTTGCATGGCTGTATTTCGGTTTGAAGGGTGGGATATGGCGTGAATTTACTGGGTACAGAGGAATAACACCCGAGTCCTCAGGAATGGCAACGCATGGGGGGTATCATGGGCGAAACAGTATATTCTGTTATGTCCATGGTACTGCTCATGTCTATAGGCGACGGTTATCACTTTCCATCAGGTGGACCATCAGCTTGTTTGCCATATATATTTATATATATATATATATATATATATATATATATATATATATATATATATATATATATATATATATATATATATATATATATATATATATAAAATGAATTTATTTACAGATAGCAGATTACAATGATATGCTATTTACAACAATTTTCAATATTTGCCTCCGATTTCCGAAAGATTGACCTGTGAGTTGCCATGAAATCCACCTTTTGTATCAATTATTTTTTGTTTAGTGATCAATTTATTCTTTACTGACAATATCGCGTGAAAAGCCTTTTTAGATTCGGCGCAAATCTCTGCCTGTTCGTGAACGGTGATTTATTGTATTACTTACTAAATAAGTTACTGTTGCAATTTAAATCTGTACAGAATTATAAGTCATTTCATAGCATATAATAGTCACAAAATTAAGACAAAAAAAAAATACAATTAACTACAATATTAATATAAGTTATAAAATTATTTTTTGATTTCTGACAATTAGTTACAGAGTAAGTCCTTTGAGATTATAAGGAGTACTATGATTTCAGACGAGCTAGTTGCGCCATGAGTTCTTTATCTTCATCCGTGGTTGACGCACCAATTTTGGTTTTGGCGACAGACGGAGCGTTTGCCATCTGCAAATAATAATAAATCAGTACTTGCATACCTAGTATATACTGTGACGCACAAAGCGGCTTTCAATTTGACAGTTTTTTTTAATCTTTGGTTTTGTTTAATTATTTTTTTACATTGTATAAAGTCTTGCATCCGAAAAGTGGGTATTGGCGACCTGTACGAATGCTAAAGTTAACCCTTTGCGCTCCGTTGTCGCCGTATTTGCGATATTAAAATGCTAACATTAAATCCACTGTCGCGGCTACAACGATACGGTTGTTTTACTGAGTCAGTGCACTTAATATTTAGGTAAGCAAAATCCTCTGTGTTTATCTTATAGTGTAAAAATATGTTTATTTTGTTTACATTATAATAAGTTATTGGTATCCATTATGAATTACTAGGCTGGAGTGCAAAGGGTTAAAGAGAAGTGGTAAAGAGCCGTCTGAAAATCAGCGCTATATATGTATATTACGCTGGAGATATGCATATATAGTAACAGCGGCTCCTATTACCAGTAATTTTTTTTTTATTTTATTGTTTTTATTTTTAATTGCAGTTATTGTTTTTGTTGTTGTTGGTAATAATTAATGTATCCATCTATCTAATTATACTGTTATGCCTCTATAACACGTCAGTGGTTTAGAATGCTTCATTAAAGATTCATTTGTATATAAATATTTTTATATAACTTTACAATTTTATAAATATATCTTTTTTCGAGGAGAACAATAAAGAATTTTTATTCATCTATTCATTTTTCTATTGGTAAATCCTCTAATTAGAATATACTAAATTAGGATTTAATCAAAGGCACGTCAAAATGTTATATTTTTTAATTAGAGGAAAAGTGGCATAATTTGAAAGCACATAACATAAGTAATCCACAAGTAGTAACAGACTACTTTTTTCTGTTGAGTGTATTACAGAAATTATACTAGCTTTAAAGAGATAAGATAGCATTCCATATAATCTGAAGAAATACGCCACAAAAGAGTAACCAGTAACTTTGGGATGTTTTCTAAATTCGCCAAATAAATCTTTTATGTAAAACAATGAAAAGGATAAATCTACAAAGACATTATATGGACAACGGTCCAAATGAGAGGCTAAGCGCGGAAATTAGATCCCGATTTAAAATCTACAGAGATTTTAGTTGCTAAAATAGAATAATGATTTATCTTACCTTTCCACTGATTTCAATTCCAATCTCATCAAGCACCTTATTGATCACACCCTCAGTTTCTTCTTCATCACCAGATTCGGCCATGATATCATCAAGAGTTTCTGAAACTAGTAACAGAGAGATTTAATTAGAAACAGAGGAACAAAATAATTTCTTCATATTACCCAAATATTTTAATATCATTAAAGCATAATATTGTTTCATACAATCCATTAGATGGAGCGATGACCTCAAATGCATCACAAGGAGTCAGTGGATGCAGGTAGCTCAGGACCGTTTATAGACTTTATGGCAGTCTATAGGGGAGGCCTATGTGTACAGTGGACAGATAATGACTGAAATAATGATGATTGTTAAGCAAATAATAATAAATTATAATAATAAATAATCCTTGGACATACAATAAAACACTATCTGTTTCTGCCGTGTAACAGTTGTGTTTGCATGGCTGTGTTTTAGTTTGAACAATGGGATATGGCAAAGAAATTACAGTATAAAGAGGCATAAGATCTTAGTCCTCACGAATGCCAATGCATTGAGGGTATTATGGGCGACACAGTATATTCTGTTATACTCATAATATTACTCATGTCTATAGGCACTTTCCACTAGATGAGCTGTCAACTCATTTGCCATTTTAAGTTGCATAAATAAACATCCAGTCCCAAATTAAACAGAGCTTGTAGTATGTATATAGTAATAACTGAAACAGATATTTTTTTTATACATACGAGTACTTAAGGGTATTTATATATTTATTCTTTTCCATAATGCTTGTATAAATAATTATGTGTTTTTAATTCCCTTCACAATTAAAAAATCAAAATAGTTATGTTTTTAGTCAGTAAAGCAATTCAAAACTAATATCTGACAAAAGCACTGTGACCTAATAATATTACATGATTTAAATTTTAAAATAAGAACAAACAGATTAAGTTATTAACATAAATAAGGCTCACAATCACATCAGTCATTCATGAATAAGGGTCCGGGATGGTCCCAAAACTAGTAGAGCTTTCTTGACTAAAATACATATAAGTTAATCTGGTTATTTTTACATTCAAATACAAAGTGTATTTGCAAAACTTTTAACAATAAAATTAAATGACTTACTCATTTCATCAGTCATATCCATCTTAGCATTTGCCTGTTTGAATGCTTCCATGTCTTTAGCTATCTGGTGTGGATTCATGACCTTATTCATATTGCCCATTGTCCTTGCTGTAGTTCCCATAGCATTTGCAATAGCTATATTTGCACCCATTGCTTTGTTTTGGATTTGAACACTGGATATCTATAATTTTAAATATTAATTAATTTTACTTTTGTAATATAGACACAATCATATATGGAAATTCATGCAGTGATTCTGTGACATGGCAAAATATTAATGGTTTAGATATATTGTTCTGTTGAATAAATTATTTTCATTATTACTTTATTATATCCTATATTAATCAACTGAAAGTTATGATTTAAAATGTAATGAAGAAGATATTTCATAATAAACCTATTACAATATCTCAAAAAATTAAAATAATGATGAAAATTATGGGAATGATAGACTAAAATCAATTTATTACAAAGTTTATTGGCAATAACATTTGTTTATGTATGTAATTTTTGTCACATACCATATATCTCTTCAAAGAATGTATGAATTTATAAAGGAAAACAACACAATCAGGAAATATTATGTTATGAGGGTCAATTCACAACCTTCATATCATTGCCCAAATAAAAGTAAAAAAGCATTTATATCTGGCCACGTTGGACAGTTTTCTATTGCTAATATTAAATTCTAGATTTATGTGTATTACAATAAAGGCCACATTCAAATATACTTTAATATTAAATATAACAGTGTACATTTACTGAGCCTAGGCTGGAGCCTGTTAGTATAGATATTTATATTCCTAAAACATCTTTTACTTTTAATATTAGTAAACTTTCGATTCTATTTATGAGCATGAAACTTGTATTAGTCAGTTCCTCATGAATTCAATTACAGAACAATTTAGAATGTTTAACACCAAATGGCATTCAATAATTAATTAAAATGTTTACCTTACTGTTTGCAGCATATATCCTAGTTTTTTGTTTTCTTAATTGTACCAATTGTTTGGCTAATATTTTGCAACCCTCATTATTGCCTTCTTTTGCCATTTTTTTTATTTCTAATTCCTGAAACAAACAATAGCAGGGCAAGTGTCAAGGAAGAAATATTCTCTGTTGTATGAGGTTTTATTAATGGAATAACAGGGTTGTACTATTGGTACACATTAGTGGGATTCCAGTGTGAGATGATAATTAAGGATGTAAGTAAACTTATAAAATGATATTATGAACAATCATACTTTTCCCTCTATTGTTATTCATTACATTATAAACATTTGTGCTCAAACTACAGAATAACCTCAGCAATGGGTTAAGCATATCATCATCACAAAACAATAATAAATAAGATTACTAATTAAATGTATAATAAATTATATATTTAATTAATTAAAACATTGAGAATAAAATCTATAACTAACCAATTTCTTTTCTTCTCTTTCTAGAGCAGCCTTGTCCCTGTCCAAATCGCGTCCAGCTTTGCGCAAATCCCTGTCATTTTGTCTCTGTTGTTCTGTAAATATATAATTTATTAAATTCATTTTAAATTTATGCATGGAAAATTTGTTTTAATTTCGATTTTGGTATAGTTAATATGAGACAAATAATAATAAAGATTTAACTCTAGAAATCTTTCTAACATAGTATTAAAAAATAAAAAAATAAAAACAGTTTAAACATTTTCTCTTTATGGAAGACGATTGAAAATTTTACTTATTATTTTGCAATCAATTCGCAAGGATAAAATATTAATTATTACCTACATTTATAGTATTAAATACCGTAAATGTAGATATTTAATTTTTACTCGTAATTACTTATTGCCTTGGTACTGCCATAAATTACTGATTTGCTTTTATGAAAAGATGATTGTTTACGTACCTTTTACAGTGGGCTCTTTTCTAAAAAAATTCATGTCGTAAGTATAAGAATACACTTAATATAAATATAATAGTTATATTAAATAATCTTATAGGAAAAATAAAATTTTGAATTTTTTTTCTTGTTGTTCTTAGTGATTTCTTAGAAAAACTTTGATAACCAGATGACTAATAATTTAAAATAATTGTCAATATTGACATTGGATTGACATTTGACATTGTCTTTACATAGACACAGAATGTCACCGTAATATCGTCATCTATGAGTCTTCATTCCCATGAAAGTCAAAATATTGGATTTGTTCTTAGATATCGATGGAGGCTGTATATAAATAAGAATAGAGTAACCGTCTTACTGTAAAAATTATCAATTCTTTATAAAGCGTTCTTTAATAATGTGATTATTTTTACAATCACATTATTAAATAAATAATATGATTATAAAAATCTTTATTCATAAATACAGGCATAATAGATATGTATGTATGTTATTCATAAATGTACTATAACTCTGCAATAACTGTTCAGTAGTAACAATGGATACCGATGTTATATATGTAAACGCAGTATAATGTACTGCTAATAATCTAAGGATCTATAAACCTATCATAAACCTGTAACACCAAAAAATTTTATTCATAAACGTATAATAGAAAGCTAATAAGACGAAAACGTCAAATAGCAGTCCTATAAAATTATAATGTATTAATGCCTTTGCCATGTAGTCCCAGCATTAATGGGTCACCCCTTCCATTCTCATGGTTGTTGTAAAATGTGACTAAGAGAACTTAACGGCCGAGGGATAGGTAGCAGCATCTCTCTTAAAATAACAGTATCTATTTACAGGGTACGGAGGAATAACACCTGAGTACTCATGAATGTCAACGTATGGAAGCCTATCATGGACGAAAGAGTATACTCTGTTATGTCCATGGTACTGCTCATGTCTATTGGCGACGGTTACCACTTTCCATCAGGTGGGCTGTCAGCTTGTATGCCATTGTAAGTTGCATAAAAAAAACACCAAAGCCTAACTGCGGTTGTCAACCCGCCTGCCAAACGTGTCATCTACTGGCTAAACCATTGCCAGTAGTTGACACGTATAGAAGAAGTCAGTGGTATGTTCAACAGTGAACACTTAAAGGCTGATGATTGCTTACTATAAGGACATATCGCACCTTCGGTAAGACAAGGGCACAACTGTACTTTTTGTAATGTTGTCTAGCGGTGAATAACCCGAATTTAACTCATTTTAAGATTTTTGTACGTTGTATCCTTGTCTTACCGAAGGTGTGATATTAACTTCAAAATGAGATTTGTCTTTTATAACTTAATCGTAATTGATGCTGTTTGTAGCAGTAAAGTTATTTTGCAATAAGCAGCCATCGTGCTATTAGATTTAGAAATCGTTCGTAAAGTATTTTGTTTGCTATTGTATGGAATAATCCCTTGATTAGGTATTTGAGAATATATCAGCATGGTCCCTAAAGCACAGCAAAGCAGTTTACTAATATGATATCCATACATAGAATCATTTCGGTAAACATTCATATGAAAAAGAACAAGATGTTGCTATTTCACCTATCTCATAAAATCACTAGCGATAAAAATTCTATCGATAAATTTGTTTGTCACTTGCCTAGGTGAGCAGATTAGAAATTAAAGTAGGTATGTTCTGATTGATGAATTAATTTTCATATTACAGGGGCGAATGGGCCATGCCGACATCAAGATCAGAAGCCAAACTTTCAGCTATCTACGTACACGATGTACGATGTTGCATGTAATATGTTACACTTACTATTTTAAAAAATAACAATTTTCAATGTTTCTGACTGATTATTTAAAAAGTTATTTGCTAGTAAACTAAGATATTAATCATGCAATAATACTTTGAATTGATAACAAAAATGTATTTGAAGCGAAATATGAAGTAGGTGCAAAGTTTTTAGTAGTAAATTTATATGTACCTAATGTATTTTTTGATTAACATTCAAGTCCGCTAACAACGCACTTTTTAAATAATGAGGAACTTCGAAAATAGTTAAATATACTGTGATACTTAAAATACCCCTTGTATTTTAGGTATCACAGTATATTCTGTAAACTCATTATCTCTCTTTATCGTGTTTATGTTTAAAATATTAAATTAAATAACTGGGAATATAAGATTTTAAAGAAACAACATCAATACTATGAAACTTTTATTTTCGAGAGCAAAATCAAAATATGTTCTAATTAAGTCACTTCATTTTTATTAAACAATACGTTAAAATACCAATAGATTTATTTTATTACGGGTAAGTACCTTCCTACATACTTACTTTTCGATTCACAATAAAATCAAAATAATTACAACAGTTGGACGGTTTTGAAGACAAAAATCTTCAATGAAAGAAATAATGGATTGCAGTTAAAAATCAGGTAGGTACAGTAAAAGATTAAAAAAAACATTAAACAAATCGAAGAACAGTCTATATATCTTAAGGTATAAGCAGCTACAGTTTAATTTCAATTTACAACCTAAATATAAATAGGGACGTAGGTATTTAAAAAAATAGACCGTCACAAATTATAATTTAAAAATAAAACACAGAAAACGAACACAGACGAGACTAACATAGATCAAAAAAATATATACCTAAGTAAATATATCATTTACGGGTAAGTTATTAAGCATTGTTATTTTTACTGGGACCATGGTAAGTATAGGGAATTTGTTCATTCTATCTAGGTATATTATATATTGTAATTTGTTTGAATTAACAATATGAGAGATTTAAAATAATACTCGTTACTTATTATTGTATTTTTAATGCGAACGGAGATTCACCAAGACCATTTTGGCTGGAAAATTCCAAATTCCCACTTATCTGGTAGACCTGTATGTGATTTATTTTTGAAATCACTCTCAGACCATTGGAATGGTTTTATTACGTCTCTGTTAAGAATTTCTAAGGTTTCTTGTTCAGCTTCTTCTAGTTGATGCTTTACCAGGTCTCTGATTTCGAGACCGTCAATACTTGGCTTGTCGTCAAACTGATGCGTGTATATTGGCGCTATGTTTCCTTTGTTAATAGTAGTGTTATTTAATTTTGATACGTGTGTGTAGGGTGGTCCGGCTATTGCGACAAATCCTAATGCTGTTTCATTCAATACGCCTGAAAATAATTATAAAAATATTATTTTATGTATTTTTTTTACTTCGGAGAGCAACGAAATTATAAATATCATCAAAAACTGTCATCAGACTTATACAATATAATATAATACATCGTCCAATGCCAGGACTCTCTAACAATTATCCATTTTAATTCATACTATCAAGTGATAAACACTTTCTTGCTTCATCCTACATCATCCTATTCGTCGCATAATAATATATCATCATCATCATATCAGCCTTTTATTGTTCATTGCTGAACATAAGCCTCCCCCTTAGGGGGGTTTGCCAGTAGTTGCTACGCTTGATAGGCGGATTGGCAAGCTCAGTTAGATTTTGAAGATGTTTTAAGATTTATGCTGCTGCCCGGTCCTCCCTTAGTCGCCTTTTACGATATCCACGGAAAGAAAGGGGTCGCACATATAATTCCAGTAATTCAGGCAAATCTTAACTTCCTCAACATTACAAGATCTATTTTATCACGACACGTTAATTAGATTGACCCAACGTTATCGTAATCGGTTTCTTTCTTTCGCAATGTATCATAATTGCCTTGCCTTCTCCCATTTACCCCAAGTAAATATTTACTAAGGGTCGATGCAATATGTCTTCTTTTTCCGCAAATCCCTGTTAACTGTCATTGTTTTCGCAAGTATATATATTTTTTATTACTGTCAATGATTAAGTAGTCAAAACTTACCGCTCACAACTTTTGTGTCTATAACACCATAAGCTTCCTTGTAACGCTGCACCATATCACCACGAGCTCCTAAAACAGACCAGTAACCTTTCTCCTGGATGAGACATTCCCAACCAGAGGAACATGATTCAGTTTCGTTGCTGGCTCGATTAATGGCAGTCACATTATTCTGTCTCATCAATTTAATAATACTTTCAAGTGATGTGGCGTTTTTGTATCCATTTTTAAACATAACGGCTCGCGGTGATTCCGTTTCAGAAAATAAATTTCCATATTTCTCTTCCATTTTGGTAATATGCGTCAGTTCTGCTACATCCTGAAGAGTAATAGATATATATTTGTATTTAGATAGTCAAATATATATTTATGAATGTATATGCGAAATTATATACAAAATAAGTGACGGAAAAGTTAAATAGACCAGAGAGAACTTTGAAGAAAAAGTAAAACAAAGACATTTAAGAAAATTCTAATAAGAATTAATTTTATAGATATTTTAGATTTTATAAATAGAATTTAGTGTAAAAATAATGCTATCATAAAAAATCTTCAGATCCTGAAGTAATTAAATTATTCCTCACCTTAAAGAAAGGTAATCCATAGATAGCCCAGTACCCTTGCTCCAGGAAGATATCAGTTAAGTCAGCGGAATGCGTACGCCCGGGCACTTGTTCTATTAACATTAATAATCCCTTCCCATGTCCATTATTTGTCCTGTATACGGTATGCTTGATGTCGCTGTAACAAACGCATATTAAAGAATTTTAATAACTTCATTCTTATTCATGTTTTTCATATACATATGATGTTTTGGGTTGAAACCGTCTGTTCAGGAAACAACTTTTTTGAAAATAGACTCAAATCTGATGTATTTTTAGTCGTATTTTTAGATAGTTGTTATTTAGTTTGTCATATTAAAGAGCAACATCTCCTGACCGAAGATCGCAAAATTTTTGACTATGTAACTTATAAAGTATAGTAAGTAGAGTATAGCTGAATATAGCTAGTATAGCTGAAGCTATAACTTCTTTAAAAGTAATTTTATTAATATACCAACACTTAATACTCACTTTGTAATAGTACTTTCAGAAACGAATTCATTTCTAAAATGTCTTGGCATGTGTACTTTATTTGGCAATGCAAACTCATTCTGCTGATTGAACTTATTAAAATCTACCAGAAGCCATTGCTTGGAAGCGGTACCAGAGTTGCTACTTGCGAGAGTTCGGCCCCATGAGCTGACGTTGGCCGCGAGATGGTTGGCTGCAAATATACGGGGGCCAGCTGGCACCTGTACAAACATGAATAAATTTACGTATAACTTTATGCGAAACGCATTTATTACCCCTTGACAAACATTTGCTGTATCAAATTGCAGCCCAAGTTTTGTACCAGTAAATAAATACAAGTGTGCAAATGAATGAACAAAGGTAAGAAAAGAAGCAAAACATGTAAATTTATAAAAAAAAAAAAGAAAAATCATCTTGTTCATAAATTGGGTATAGAACATAATGTTCCAATTTCTCAGCCATCTTTTTCTATCACATTGTTCACAATAGACATAGATCACCATCATCGCTTTATGATTTAAATATATGCTTTTTCAGAGGAGTTTTATCCTGGTGTCGTTCAGAAAATGAAAAAGCTTCTTACCATAACTTTTTGCAAGTGTGATAAAAAGATTTCACCAAGATTAGCAGTTTTTGTAATTTACAAACGTAAACCATAGAGAAAAGATAAGGTAAAAGGTCTTACTAAATAGAAAATGATACCTATTATGTTAGTGTGAGAAATGCAATAAGGAACTAGTTTGTTCAATAAGAGGTTTATTAATTGTGAATTTAGCACTGCACGTATTGGATTAATGTGCCGCCCCACCATTTCTCGTATATTTTATTTGTTCATTATTTAGTATATAAGGTCGTTATGGGCAAAGCATTTCGCAATACCTACACCTACCCTATCTGCAATAACAGGTCAACCGAGTTTAAAAAAATAATTGAGGATCGTATAAAAAACAATTGTGATCAGTAAGTAGTGTTTAAAATGGAGTGTTAAAGAATATGATCATTATATAATATACGAATACTTACTTGTTCTGTAATGTTAACTTCTTTCCATAGTTTACTATTGTAATTTCTTAATGATGTGCCAGTAACAGCTATTCTATGTTCTTTGCCTTTAATTATGTAGAACTCATCTTGACTGGTGATAGAGCCGGGATATCCTGAGAAATCTACCGAGGTGCCAGGTACAACATTAGTGTCCTTGGATGTTAGGTGATAGTTTAATTTATACCTCTTCAGGATACGTGTCATAGAAGAGTAGCTATAACAAAAAAAGTATATTTATATATAATTAGGTATTATAAATTGTATAACGTCAATAGAGTACCTATTAATTATATAATACAAGTATTTTATATAGTGTAATCCAGTTTAGTCCTGGATATTGATTCGCCATTATCACTACAACTCTCTTTCCTATTACTACTATGAAATATACGCACATTGTTGCATTTAGGTCTGAAGATCAGGTGGCAATGCAAACTCGGATTCAGTAAGTACTTACTGATATATAAGTATCCTCAGATTGGCAAGAAATTCTATGAGCAATAATAATTTGAGCTTTCACTGCATGTCTTTAAGTAGATAGCTGTTATAATTTTTCAATAGATAGCGTTTGTATATGAGACGAGTAAAGATAAATAAAGAAAAAAGATTATTTAGAGATTTAGAGCTCTAATTTATCTATTTAAACAACTTTACTGACCAAATGATAATATAGTACAAAAGGCGGACTAAATGCTAGTAGCATATCTATCCATTGGTACTGTATTTTTTTACAGATTTGGTGTGTAGATAGATGGATGCTGTCACTGAATTTTTTATTCCTTACCTTCCAGCCATGTTCTGCGCCAAATAAAGTTTTTTAGTTGGAACGCCATCGGTAGAAGTCTCGTTGGTGATCCTCACGAACGCACTGGACAAGTCAGGTAAAGTTGTTAGCATTGGGTCTTCTAGGGAGATGTTTAATTTTTGTTGCAGTTCTATTACTTCCGTCAAAGAGTTCAACCAGTATAAATCAGATATGTCGGTATCATACTCGGACATACTTCGCTCCACTCCATGTTTCCAACCAGTGGATATTCCACTAATTTGAGTGTAGTATAATGATACCTGAAATATAGATATCAAAAAATTAATAAATACGTTCACGACAGCAATCCTTGTTAGAGTAGTCAGAGATGTTTTTCGACTATTATAATAACGGTGAACGTAATATTTAATATACCTATATTTCGCCGATTACATATATTCAAATCCAACGTTGTCAGCTAGCTACCTATGACTAGTGGTGTCGATTTTAGTTACGAGTGTATTATCTAATAACACGTCGTCGATGCTTTCATATCTACAACCATCTAGTACAGTATAGATTGTATGTGAATTGTAAATGCAAAATAATATATACATTCATTTGTGTGAACAATGAATAGTGTTCTCTCTTCGAGATATCAGAGACAACTTGCAAAACAAGGAACAATTTACCAATGAAAGAAAATACACAAGTGAAAAGAAAACTCGAATTAAAACCCCATATCAAGTTATTTAGCAAACGTGGTAATAGTAATGGTAATGTTTTAATGGTTGACTGGACGAAATCTCTTTTAGAGATAAGTTCGCCTTTGCTAACATTGTTATTAACTTATTGTTGTTACTGTATGTTTTAGTGCAATAAAGAATATATATAATAATAATAGTTTTATATTAGGAGAGATCCATGCTCAGCAGTAGAATGATAATTGTAATAACGCTAAATGCTGTCATAAACTGTATAGAAAAAAAAACACATACTTGATGCCAAAAGGGATCGATGCTACTGCGCTCTGCAGCATACGTCTTCCATCTGTCTACAGACTTATCCAGGGAGTCTCTCAGCTTATTGCATTGCTTTTCTAATGGTTTGTTTTCACATTTTTCTCTTATTGTGTTCTCGAGGTGAGTATGAATTAGGTACCAAGTAAGTGCACCCTCAACGATACCAGCAGCGTATGCCTGCACTTCGTCTGGATACGAACCATCAGTTTCCACTTCCAAAAGAGACCACCTAATAATAAAAAATACATTTTTAAGCATTGTCGAATTGAGTACATCTAGTGTACGCGTGCTTAAACGTTTGTTTATATCATCGGCAATTGAAATTTGGACTGTTTTGAAAAAAAAACTGTGGAATTATCATTATCAGTAATATCTATTTAACATAGGGTATCTACTAAAGTACTTCAAAATACTTTAATTTCACCTATAAAATATTGCTTTCGATAACTTTATAGCAGTTCAACATTGCGTGAATATCGTGTTTTATGTAATACGTATAGTAGATACACTAACTAAAGTATTAAAAGTGTCAATGAGACGTCTCATTAGCATAACGTGAATCACCAGATTTATCCTTCTGTTCTCGTGGTATTGCTTAGTGACATTTAAAATTATCAGTATCTGATCTCTTTGTTCTATCTAATTAGAATAGCGCTGTAACAATTTCTGGTTTATATGCTATATATACTTAACATTATATAGCCAGATATTTTTACTAATAGTCGATAGTTCGACAGAATCAAAGCTGAAATTTTAGTAAACACTTAACAAGTTCATAAATATTATAAAACAAATATGCTAAACGACCACTAGCTACTCTTTCCAATTGACTTCAAAAAACAAGGAGGTTCACTATTCGGTTGTATTTTTTTTATGTTTTTTACCTCAAAATTATTTATTTTTATAAATCAATTTGAAAAATATACCAGGTTAATTAAACAAATAATGTCATGACAAAGTGATAATAGTGGTTGCAATGTTTTGGATATTTTGTATAAACGCCTCTAAATCTTTAATGAATGATGTAGTAATTTACCCTGTAGTATCAACATCCATCCTAAAGTGTGCTCGAGCTACTCCTTTCGGTATATTAGCTAGTTCATTGCTTTGGCCCCAGTATTCGATGCGATATCCAGTTTTCTCTGAATAAAAAACTGTAGCTGCATAATTTCCGTCTTCTTGGATTCTGAAAACAAAAAATATACGTATTGAATTATTTAAAGTATCTATATAAGTACGTACTATCAGTAAGCAAATACAAATAATATTTTGGAGGCCCGCCAACAAATACCGTAAACCCTCGGATGTAAATCTACGTCATTACATACATTATGATAAGGTTTAAAGTGTGATAGAAATAAAGATGACCCTAGGTACTCTATGAGTAGTAGCTATGTTACACATTTTCTTTTTGTTTTATTAATATTGTTTGTTGATTATTATTAAATATTTATATATATAAATTATCGTTGCTTACTGAATATGTCTTCTACTTGAATTTTTCGTTATTAATGTTATTTGTTGCTTATTTTATATATGCAACCGAATCTATAAAGGAACAAAAACAAGTCTACAAAAAAAAGATAATATGTTAAACAACTTACCTTTCAATCTGTCCAACAAAGAGAGCCAAAAAAGCGAGGACACCAAGTATTCCAAGAATATAGGAGCTTATCTTGGTTTGAAGCCAGGAGGCGCCAACTACTTTTAGTATTTTAGTCATCTTTTCAGCTTATTCAAAATATATATATATATAAATAGAAAAAATTAACTATAAAATAAAAAAGATATTGAGAAATTTAATAACAATGAAGTGACAGTGTGAGTAGATGATTTTCTCCAATAAATACGAGAGCATCAAAGATGCGATGTTTCACATATGTATTCACGGTAACACTGATGACGCTCCGGTGGCTGGTCCCGGAGTCGGCATTGGAATCGGCTTCAGCACGATTTATATTTTGGTGTAATACCACACCTGATTCTAGTATACTTCCTTTTAACCCTGTAACAGAAACAAATGTGAGGTGTTATTTATTTTATTTAAAATGCAGCTTACAGAAACGCTGAATTTCAATAATATTATTTTTCATTTGATTTTCGAAAGCGTATCTGTTCGATGACATGACTATATTAACTCGTAAAGTTTATCGAAGAAATTTATTCCGAATCAGAAAATATGTACCTATTCATAAAATGCATAACAATAATTAGGAAATTTTTGTCATGTATTTATACTTTATTGTAAACACTAATCATCATCATATCAGCTTTTAACTGTCTGTTTACTGCTGGAGGGGCAGGAGGGGGAGTTTACCAGTAGTTGCCATGCTTGGCACGCGGATTGACAACGCAGTTTAGGCTTTGGAGATGTTTGAAGAGGGACGCTGCTGCCCATCACTTACCTCTTACGACACTTATAGGAAAGGAAGGGGTGGCCTATTCTATTCCGGGACTGTGGTCCCGGAAACTCTAATAATACATACAAAAACATGGTCGTAGAAAGAAAATGTACAAAGACAAGCTTAACTTCGCAAGAGTTCTCTTCTGTGTTTTCCAAAGTTGAAAAGAGTTTCGATTTAGTATAAATACATTTTTATTTACTCTGACGTTGTAGCTACTCGCCTAATAGGTAGGTAAATAGTATTATATTATATTGCAAAGTTATTTTCATCTTTGTTGAAATTTTAGAAATAAATAATACGATAAGAAACTTTTAGGAAATAATTAAAATACCTCCTTAATTGAATTGATTTCACGATTAATAATGCACTACTTTGTTTAGTTACTCGATAATAATACCAATTTATGTGAAAAACGTTTGCACTATAAACAAAGTATTCAGATCTGAGTTGTTTGTACATAGATTGGCCGATTGAAATTCAAATCACATGTTCTAGAATAATACAGACTGTAAATTCTATATATCTAGTTTACATTAACTCAACTTACCAGAAAACTGATATTTATTTTATATCTAATCTTTAATTATTAAAACTTGAATTAAAAACTGATTGATACTGAAGTCAATTAAATATGTTTTATTCGTTTCTCTTCTAAAATAGTACTAGAAAGCGAACATCAGAAGTCATGTATATTCCTTGTTATCATTATATCAATAAGAGATACTACTCAACTGTATATTGAATGCGCTCTCCCGTTATCTTTAACTTGCGAGTAATTACTTAGCCAATAGGAATTATTTCTAAATACACAAAAAGTATAATGTTTGTAAACATGGAAAATATTATATATATATATATATATATATATATATATATATATATATATATATATATATATATATATATATATATATATATATATATATATATATATATTAACAAGTTTATTTATATGTACACGTCTCTGCCACTACTAAATTCATTCTGAATTTATTTTACTACTAAAAAACTACATTATCAGATCTATTTCCCTAATTATTCCTCTATATTAGAAAATTCTAACGGGAAGGAATGAGTTCGCGCGAGTGAAATAACGGGATTTTTTCCACTATAAAAATATCTTTTATATGATAAATTATCTATTTCGTTTTACCCATACTAAAGAAACTGTCTAATGAAGTGATAATGACAATTAAAATGGAACCAATAACTATGGCAGTAGTCCAGTTGCAAAATAATCGTTAAAATCGGCCCAAAACTGTCAAAAATAGCGCTAAAACACCTACATAAAAAATATAGGCAAATTTCTCCATTCAAGGTAATTCTCACCTTCTCCTTTTTGAAGTCTCTCAAAAATAAATTTTCTTCCATCAGATATTTTACTCACTAAATTGTTATATAATCAGTAAAAATATAATAATGTAATGATATAATAATATAATAATAAAATAAAGATATAATATTAAAAGTATAGCCTATAGTATCATTATACTAGACTGACAGATACTAGTTGCCTATACCGCCTCAAGCACTTTGCAACAATAATGAATTTATCCTGAAATCATACACCGCTTGCCTACTTTACATGAGACGGCGGCTGGCAGGCGCCTAATAAGATCATTTTTAGTTTACCTATACAAATAGGTATAAAATATATATGAGGTGTATCTGCACATTATACATGATATTAATTTTTTTTATATAAGGAGAGCGGCAACAAGTATAAGGTCCGCTTTGTGCATATAAGCCGGCTTATTACAATGTGTATTTCTAAATGTTTTATTAGTGTAAAATAAAATGTTTTATGTTTTAATTTTTATATTGAATTTATAAAACTCATATTAATAATGTAAAAGTGACTTTGTTTACTATCTTTTGCTGTTTCAACGACTCAACCGATCATCGTGACATTTGGCATTCCAAAAGTATTTGAGATCGAGAAAGAAATGGAGTACTTTTTATCCCGAGCAATTAATGTAATCCCGGTTACGCGGACTGAGTTGCGGGTAAAAGCTTGTTCTTTATAATCTCAAAATAGTTCCATTCTCAACTTAAGTGTTTGCAGAAAAGAAAGATAACTTCCTAATACTTTTTAAAATAGGCAATAAACTATATAAAGCCAGACTGATGGCAGAAAGATGGCATCTTCTCTATTTTTGTGACGAATAAATTGAGTGTTTGATTTTTTACTTTCTGTTTAAATCGAAATTTTATGTTCTGTGTTTTAAAGAGTCAACCGATCATCGAGCATACGAATAGTACTTGGGATGGAGAAAAACATGGAGTACTTGTTATCCCGGGCAATTAACATAATCCTGGCCACACGGACGAAGTCGCGGGTAAAAGTTAAATCTTTGTAATCGCAAAGATAAGTCTTTTCTCAACTTAAGTGTTATATTTACTATTTAAAAAGAAGACAACTTCTTAATACTTCCAAAGGCAGGCAATAAACCACGTAAAGCAAGACTGATAACAGAAAGTTTGCGTCTTATCTATTTTTGTGACGAATAAAATGAATGTTTGAATTTTCACTTTCTGTTTAAATCGAAATTTTATGTTCACATACTTTTACTTTCTCAAACGTATCATAACAGTTTTATACTGTGGTGTACAGTCGTGTGCAGCGCGTAGAGGCGTTAGTAGTTATCACGACTTCGTAAACGTGATTGTCAAAAACAAGATACTTATTTAATATTAGCTTTTATCGCAACTTCGCCCAGAATAAGTTCACTGACCGGCATTAAAAATAGTCTATATCCTTTTCCAACCTATATAGTACGTGTTTACCAAATTCCATAGAGAATGGTTGAGCCCTTAAAACGCTATAAGGTTATACACTAACTAACTTTCACATTTATAATATTGGTAATGATTAACACAATTTAGAGTTCTTTTTTCTTATAAAATGCACTTTTTTACAATTTAAATGGCAAACAAACTAACGGTCCGGCTGATTTAATGTAATAATGAAAATTTTTGTACTATTTCATAAAAAAAGTACCTAAAAAAGTAAATTAAATACACAAACACCACTTATTAGAAATAGTTGTTAGAATGACTTGATATATATAAAACTGGAGATTATATTTGCGCATATAAGAAACATAGAGACATATTACTTCCTGGACATCTCATCAATTTGGCAGAAATACGACAACTACTTGCCAAAGCAAAAAACCAAATACCAATAAAAATGCGTATAATTGCTTTTTATTAGCAAACTGACTGACCCGAAAACCGCTATTTACCGGAATCTGGGATAAAAATAAACCTACATCTCAAGTTGAAACAAATAATACACGTTTATGAAATTTCATTAAAATCGGTTAAGCAGTTTCGGAGATTAAAATGAACAAATATCGTGACATATGATTTTTGTATATTAAAAAGAAGAACAAATTAATTAAGATTAATAGTAATGAGATCTTCCTGAACACGCGTTTCCGCACTCTTATCTTGCAACACGAGGACTATCTAAGTGCCATGGCAACATGCGTATAACTTTTATTTCATATATTTCTGCATACGATAATTAAAACCAATTAAATATTTTAATTGACACTGGAAGCAAGAAAAAAATTCATCTTAAAATCATACTTTTTACCTCTTCATAACAGATTGATTATTTTTATGACTTACCGGATTAGAGTTCCATTAATTTGATAAAGCTAACTAGTTGCTATCCGATTCTGAGTTTCGAAGTGATGACTAACTATTAACTAGGTATTTATGATAGATAACATAAGAAATAGTGGATATATTCAATTTATAAACGAAAAATCTAGACAGTTTCGCATTGAACCACGAAAATCGACAGCGAAACAAGACCATCGTCTGATCATACGCTCGTTATTCTAGTGGCAGTACGTAAATCCGTTTCATGGAGTATCTATATATTTTTTTTATAAATACTAGTAGCGAAATTGTAAAAGTACGTCCGTCGAATACGTAAACAAGACCGAAGTAAATCAATACTGTCTATAGCTTGGGCGAATACATTTGGTTTTATGATTTTTACGATCATGTTCTAGTGTGGTGAAACATAACTGACGGCACGTGTAGTCATCTATCAATATTATAATAATAATAAATCGAATGACGGAGCCAAAACTCAGATAAAATATTCTATTTAGAATTGCTACTCTGCATATAGGTACTATCTTATCAAAAATGTTTAACGTTAAAAACATATTGGTGCCAAAAGTCGACATTCTTTTGTCGTAAAAGTTGCCAAATTTCATATATACAGAGTCAAGTCCAATATTCTATTTTTATTTAATATGATTGAAAAGTTTTCTCCTTTCAGTAAAACATTCGTCACAATTAATCTTTAATTATAAACAAAATTTATAAAAATTATTCAGGACTTCGTAATCATACGTATATGTAGGAAATTAATGTAGTAGATTATTTTGAAATAAGAAATTTTCGGTATGCCTAACAATAGATAAAAGTATTTTTTAAAATTAATTAAATTTTCCCTGAAAGGACATATTTAATTGAACTTTTTGTCCCAAAATCTCCATTTCTTAATCTTCGTAATAAAATTTTGAGAAAATAATCTTTGGAACTGTGTTGAAAAGGAGCATCGTATCTATCA